CTCTCCCTCAATCCCTCTGCCTTGCCCCCTCTCTCCCCCTTTTCAAGTCCCACCTTAAAACCTTCCTTTTCGGCTTTGCTTACAACACAATACAAAATGACATTTCCAAAGCGCCTTTCACGTCAGGAGGACATCCCAAGGTGCGCTGAACAGTGAGGGATTAGAACCTGAGTGGAGGGGGTGTAGGTTGGGATCAGGGAGGGTGGAGGGCAGAGAAGGTAGGAGGGTGGCTGAAGGCACAGTCAAAGAGGAGGATCTTGAGGCATGTCTTGAAGGAGGTAAGGGAGGGAGCAGGGTGAAGGGATGGGATATTCCAGAGGGTGTGGGCAGAGAGACTAAAGGCCTGACCGCTGATGGTGGGATGGCCGGACAGGGAACGTGGAGCAGGCTGAGCTGAGGGCGCGGACCAGTTGATAAGGGGTTAGCGGATCGGAGAGATAGGAGGGGACAAGGCCATGGAGGGTCATCTCCCAGCACCCCCCCCCCCCCCCACCCCGGCTTGGAGACAGGCTCCGCCATTGTTAAGTATTCTGAGATGCTGCCCTGTGTGTAATAAATAATAATCCTTGCATTTGATATAGCGCTTTTCACGTCTTCAAGACATGTCAAAGCGCTTCACAGAATATAATGTAAAGTGAATTGACTGTGTATTCGTGGGTGAAACGTGGCAGCCAATTGTGCACAGCAGTGCCCCACAAACAGTTGTGGAATGAAGTGACCCGATTTATTTTTTTCTTGAGGGATTATCATTAGTGTAGAGCGCTATATAATTGCAATTTTTTGTTGTAAACTACAAGACTCCACAAACTCCACAGGAACATCCCCGCATCATTCATAATGTCTCCATATGTGAGTGATGTTCAATGACATGTTCCAAAACGCGCGGTTCCTTCTGAGTATTCTGGTTTAAACGTCCTGTGCTTACAAAACTCAGTGTTGCAAATTAGTTGTGTTATTCCTGAGCATTAGTTTCACATTATTTTCATTTGGAATTGTCTCGGTTGCTGAGACAAGATATCATGTCTATTTCTATATCTAAATCAGTGAACAGTCGCAAACCATTACTGAAGTTTAATCATGTTCTGAAAATGTTACAAAAAGCATTCATCAACCATCATTGGGGTTATCACTCGTGACGTTCGACAGATTCGACAGAGAATCGTACATTCTCCTGGGTGCTGCAAGTTGCTTTATGTGGCAATTAAACAAAGGAAGCAAAGAATAAATTCAGGGTAAGTGAACAAGATCATTCTCAGTGTGATAAGGTGTGAAAATGACTCACAGGGCTAAGATGATATAAAGGAAGTCCAGCAGGAAACATCGAAGGACATTTTAAAAAAATGTTTTATAAAAATATATATATATAGTAATATATATTAACGACCTGGGTATAGGGAGCAAAATGTTGAAAGTTCACAGGAGACACAAAACTTGGAAACATAGTGGAAACTGGTAGCAGACTACAGGAGGACAGACAGGCTGGTGAAATGGGCAGACACATGGCAGATGGAATTTAATGCAGAGAAGTGTGAAGTGAATCACTTTGGGAGGAGGGATGAGGAGACAATATAAGATAGTTTCAAAGGGGGTGCGGGGAAGAGAGACCTGGGGGTAATTTTGTTGTTGTTGTTCACATACACAAATCTTTGAAGGTGGCAAGAGACAAGATTCCTGGCACTAGTCTTGGGATTAATTGTACATTTATCTCCTTGAAATTTTATTTCACTCGACATTTTTACAGAAATTTCACGAAATGTCATTTTATGCATGTTTGTGCAGAAATATCATCGAATGTAATCTTACTTGACATTTGCACTTCTCTTAAGTTTTCGAGTTTCTCATGATGTAATACAACACGGCTGACCAACAGGATCTCAGAAGGAATGTTGGTACTTTAATTGAATCAAATCAACATCGATAAACCGTAATGCCATACACACAACCGAGATGCATAGTTCAGATTCAAGGGCGATCAAATCTTTCCTCCAGGAGAGATGGTGACCACTTAGCATATGTCGATCCTTCTCCTTCTGTGGCGGTGTCTTGTCCTATTGATGTAATGGGTTACCACTTTTATACTGTATTCTAAGGACAGCCCGACCAGGTGTCACCAATGGTTTCACAGAAACTACCCCTGATCAGTTCATTCTAGTTCTTTCTTTGTTTTACCTTTTTAACCTATTTGCATTCCTTCAGGCCTCCATGATCACTTTTCATATCCCCTTATCAAAGAGGATATCTTTGTTCGCCTTTGCTCGTCCTGCCTCCACGAGCCATCGTGTCTGGCACCATTTACATTCTCCCCCTCTATAATAATAATCCTTGTATAATAATGCGCCTTATCTCATCTTCGAGACGTCGCAAAGCGCTTCATAGAATATACTGTAAAGTGAATGGACTCGAGGCTGGAATACAGAGTTTGTGCATCAAATGTTATTATGCTCCACATTTGACTTGAAACCACTGAAATTCTTCTCCACTCAATAATTTCACAGAAATTCGATGAAATGTTACGTTGTCCAACACACTGATTGTCCAGTGCCTTGGCACGTCCCCCCGATGTGAAAGGCGCTATACAAATGCATTTTTGTGCCGTGCGGTCAGTGAACCCGAGAGGCTGAAACTCTAGCCACGCACCAGGCACTCATAACATCCACTGTCCCCGCTAACACCCCTAATCCGTCACTGGCCTGAGAGACAGAGACTGAGAGAAAGACTGAGGTTCTAATCTTGTTCCTGTCTGTTCAAGGTTTTGCGTAAAAAGTATTTATTTTTCAATGTACATAAATAAATACCACTTGAAACACACGCGTCTATAATTTCCTTTATTTCTCAATTGATTAATTATTTTTCATGATAAACCTAGCCCCTCGACCACTGGTAAGTCTAAACCTCACTCTTGTTCCCCTGCAACAGGGCATCCAATCTTCTGGCTGCCATGAGCCACGTAAGCAAGTTTTGTGTTTCCTTTCCAGAAACATTTAGAACACTCTTTTCACATTCAAAGGACATCTTAGAGAACTCGACGCCTGCCAACTAGGCACCAAGCTGGGGATGGGAGCCAAGAGAGGTGGGATGGGAAAAGCATGGCTAAAAAGTTAGATCTTCACATGCCTTGAAAGAGGGGAAGGAGGGAGCAAGTTGGAGGGACTCCCAGAATGGAACTCCAAAGCAGCCGTAAAAGATGGGGTGCTCCAGCATGAAGCAAACCAGTGTTTGTTGGGTAAATGGCAGAGGTAGGGTGGGGAGAATGATGGACATAGAAGTTTCTTACTGGGAATAGAGGAAGTTTTCTGTGAGGGCCTCACAGCACGCCTCCCCCCACTCCTCAATCACAGGTGTTTTTATTTATGTCTCTCCCTCATACTCTCTCAATGTCTCCTCTCAGTGTACTCTCGCACAGACTCTCCATCTCCCCCCCCCCCCCCCCACCGCCCGTCTTTCTTATTCAGCAGCACAGCTTTGGCAGCGGGATCGGCTGCTCCACCACTCACGTGACATGCCACAGAAGGCCGGTATTATAATAATAATCCTTGCATTTGATATAGCACCTTATCACGTCTTCGAGACGTCTCAAAACTCTTCATAGCATACACTGTAAAGTGAATTGACTATATTCTGTGGGATACACAGCAGCTAATTGCACACCACAATGTTCCACAAACATCGTGGATTGAGTGACCAAATTATTATTATTTATTTGAAAGGATTATTACCCTTGGAGAAGCGATCCGCCAAACGACTAACAACTTGGTTCCTACTTACTGCTAGGTAAACAGAGGTGTGTGGAGTAAGGAAACTTGCCCAGAGTTTCGCCCTGCCCGGGAATCGAACCCAGGTCTCTCGCTTGTGATGTGAGTGCTCTAACCACTAAGCCTTCCCAACTCTTCCCTCCACAAGATCATCCAGAACTCTGCAGCTTGGCCACATGATCCCATCATCCCCACCCGGCTCCCCAATCCCCCAGAGGATAGACTTCAAAATCCTCATATTCAAGGCCCTCCATGCCCTTGCCGCTTCCTAATTCTGTGACCTACTAACCCCATATCAACCTGTCCGCTTCCTCCGCTCAGCATTGGTCGGTCAGGCCTTCAGCCTCTCTGCCCCCACCATTTGTAATTCCATCCCACATTCCCTTCGCCTCGCTCCCTTCTTTGCCCTCTTCAAGGCACATCTCAAGACCCTCCTCTTCGACCATGCCTTCAGCCACCCTCCTTGATCCTAAACGCCTGCTTGGGTCCAAATCCAACTGTCCACAGTGCCTTTGGACGTCCTCCCGACATCAAATGGACCATACAAATATAATTGTATTGTAAGCTACATTATTCTCACTCTCCGCGCTGCGTCCTTCCAACCGCTGCCATGAGAGGACGGTTCCACGAGAAGGGAGGGAGCAGGCAGCCCAAAGTTGGAAATGGTCTCAGGCTGGATAACATCAAACTCCAGGCCGGGTGCAGCCCACTTGTTGGGACTACACTGCTCTACGACAACTACAAAACCCGTCGCAGATTTTAATACAAAAAAAAGTAACAAAATGACAAAAAAAAAACACATGTACATCCAGCACCGGAGAAGAAATTTAAACCCTGTCCAATGGAGGTCTTCCACTCTCCTCGCACTCAAAGGGTTGGAGGTTTGAGCTCCCCCCCACCACACGAAGGTTCCAGCTCCCCACACACACACACACACACACACTCGGGGCTCCTTGCTCCCAGTCCAGTCTGATGCTCCGGTGCAGCGCTAGGAGAGCATCGCGGTGTCAGACCTTCACAACTTCTGTGAACGTGTCTGCCCTCAGGGAGGGCATACGTTAAACACCTCCCCTGTTGGGTTCGGGGGGGGGGAAGAGAGGATGTTTCTCTCTCCCAGTGTCCTGTGTGCGTATTACGGTCACCAGCTCAGACGTGTGTGTTTGTATATTATTGTCCCCAGCTCAGGCGTGTGAGTATTGCCGTTCCCAGCTCAGGTGTGCGTGTGTCTTATGGTCCCCAGCTCAGGTGTGTGTGTTTGTTGGTGACTCCATTCAGGGGTGTGTGTATGTGTGTGCGTGCGTGTCTCTGCCCCAACTCAGGTGTGTGTGTTCTTCGATGCCCGGCTCAGGCGTGTGTGTGCTGGTGACGCCGCAGGGCGCCAGAGGTGTTGAAGCGTTTCTGGCACTGGCTGCACTGGTACGGCCGCTCCCCAGTGTGTGTGCGCTGGTGAGCGCGGAGCGAGCCCGAGTGTGTGAAGCGTTTGGCGCAGTGCGAGCACTCGTACGGCCTCTCCCCTGTGTGTGTGCGCTGGTGGGTGAGAAGGGCGCCTGAGCGGTTGAAGCGCTTGTGGCACTGGCCGCACTGGTAGGGCCTCTCCCCGGTGTGTGTACGAGCATGCGCGGTCAGTGAGCCCGAGTGGCTGAAACGCTTGCCACAGGCCGAGCACTCGTACGGTCTCTCTCCTGTGTGTGTGCGCTGGTGCGTGGCCAGGGCACCGGGGCGGTTAAAGCGCGCCTTGCACACGGTGCAGGCGTGGGGCCGGCCCCCAGTGTGCGTGGTCTGGTGCTTGCGGAGCGCGCTGGGCACGGGGAAGCGCTTGCCGCACTGGCCGCACTGGTGCGGTTTGTCGCCTGTGTGGTTGCGGTGGTGGAGCAGGCGGCCGCTAGCCGTGCGGAAGCGCTTGTGGCAGATCACACACTCGAAGGGCTTCTCACCAGTGTGCGTGCGGGCGTGCGCGGTCAGCCCGCAGGATTTGGTGAAGCGTTTCTGACACACCGTGCACTGGAACGGCCTGTCTCCCGAGTGCGTGCGCTGGTGACGCATCATGTTGCAGGACTGGGAGAAGCGGCGGCTGCAGACGGGACACTGGAAACTCTTCTCCCCGGAGTGCGTACGGAGGTGGAGGATCTGCTCACCGGACGTGGCAAAGCGTTTCTGGCACAGCGAGCACTGGAATGGTCTCTCTCCCGTGTGCGAGCGCTGGTGCACACACAGCCCGCTCGCCGTGCGGTAACGCTTCTCACACAGCCGACACCCGTACGGTCGCTCCCCCGTGTGAGAGCGCTCATGGATCCGCAGCTTGGAGGCTCCGCGGAAACGCTTCCCGCACACCGGGCACTCATAACGTCCCTCACTGGCCCCAGTAACGGCCAACGGCAATGTCTCTACACCATCTGCTAACACTGCCTGGTCCGTCTCTGTCTCCATTACCGGTCTGAGAGAGAGAAATAGAGACTGAGAGAAAGACTTATCACATCATTGCCTGTAAATGGATGAGCACGCAATCAATCAATCAATCAATCAATCAATCAATCAATCAATCAATAATTTGACTCCTCCCATTTCCTCCCTTGTTCTGCGTTCCTCCGCCTCTTCATTGATTGACAGCCCAACTCCAGCCACTTGTGAATGGGTGGAGACTGATGTCAATCAGTTGTAGACTCCTCCCATCGCCATGCGGGAGCCCCTTGTGGCTGAATGGAGGCGCTCGACAGACAGAAGGCACGAGTGAGGGCATTCAGTGGCGACCAGGGTGGCATTTTGCCCGGATTAAACTGGATGCTTGTCCAAATCAACCGGCATATTTAAAACAAGTAAGAATCGGGGCTGGGCGGTTTGTTCGGTTCATCCAGCGTTGACTGGTGTCTGCTTAAAACAGATTCCACTTTACATATAATCCAGTGGTAGATATAATGTAACATGTAATGTAATATAATATATATATATCTGTGATGACAATTCTATATAACAGTATACAGGGAGAGAGAGACAGACATACACACACGTAATAAAATATAAAATGTAATGTAAATGTAAATAAAATGATATATAGTCTAAGCGCTCCGAGACCCTACCCTGCGTGGTGGGCGCTATGTAAGGGCAAGTTGTTGTTGTATATATCTGTGTGATATAATATATATAAACCGGTGATAGATGTAATGTAATATGTAATACAACATGTCATATAATAATATTTACAGTGATGCGTGTGTCACAGTCACTGTGTGTGTGTTCACACTATTTTGTTATAGTAATAATATAATTATATAATATAATGTATATCTGTGACAAACAATTATAAATACAATATACAGAGAGAGACACACAAACACACATAATTGAATATACTTATATATATGGTAAGATTATTCCGGTGATGATAATAATCTTTGCATTCACATCGTTGAGACGTCTCAAAGCGCTTCACAGAATGTATTGTAAAATGTAGTGACTGTGTGTTCTGTGGGCGACACGGTGCTAACAGAATATATAATTATATACAGTATAATATTATTATTTGGAGGGGGATTATTACGCCCTTATTATAAATTACAATAGTCAGTTCAATCCACCACTGTTTGCGGGACACTGCGGTGGGCAAACGGCGGCCGCGTTTCTCCCCCCCCGCCCCATACTCCCCAAATACCCCCCAATACCTCCCAAATACACCCCCCTAACCAGCCCCCCCCAATATAGCCCCCCCAAATACAGCCCAATATAGCCCCACCAAATAACCCCTCCAAAAATACTCCCTATACCTCCTAAATACACCCCCAAACCACCCCCCCAATATAGCCCCCACAAAATATAGCCCCCACCAAACTTCCCCAATACTCCCCAAATACCCCCAACCCTCCCCATACCTCCCAAATACACCACGAATACCCCCTAATATAGCCCCCCCAATAGTCCCCAAATATCCCCCAACAACACCCCCCAATACCTCCCAAATACGCCCCCC